TAACTAAAGAGTCTGAAGAAGCCCTAAACGGTTTGGTTTGGTTCGGTTCGGTTTATTTAAAATCGTGACCGGTTTGGTTTGGATCGATTTAACGCGATTTTTATTTGGTTTTTCTGGTAAAGAGATGTATAATATAACCAAGTAAAGCCCTAACTTGTGTTGCAACCTTTTGTTGAGCGATGAAGACGACGATATCCGATCTTTCAGTGGATTTGGTAGAGGAGATACTCTCTAGGGTCCCATTGAAGTCTCTGAGTGCAATGCGATGTGCATCGAAAGAATGGGACGCTTTATCAAAAGATCGAATAGTTTGTGATGCAGGTCAAAGCAACATGTTTTGGGGTTTTTGACGACGGAGTCTAGGGCTTTTTCAGTGAGATGCGATCTCCAAAACGTCGACTTGGTTGATACATCTGTAAAGCAAATTGTTAAACTGAATCAATTTAAGATCAGAAACGTGTTTCATTGCGACGGGTTAGTGTTATGCGTGACCCATGACCAGGATAGTGTTATGCGTGAAACATACCCGGGCTTGTGGATAAATATGTCAAAATGCACAAGGTCGAGTATAAAATGATATTGCAAGAACTTATAAAGAAGCAAAGTATAAAATCACAATCAACGTTTTCTTCAACCTTCTATTATATTATCTTTCTTTAAAAGTAACTTACAAGAAACTTTTTAGCTAGTACGAAAATCTAATCTCTCAAAACTCTTTCTCTTACAAGAGAACCAAAACCCTTTTTATTCGGGTTGACTCCTCCTTGTAAGAAGAGTAAAGTTTTTTGTTGTAACAAACACAAGAAATATCATCTTCTTCCTCGAGCCCTCTAACTGTGAGAGCTCAATCTTTCTTCATTCTAGTGGGTTGCTTGGACTGGTTTCTGGTATAACGCGATTTTGATTTTGTTGTTATCTGGTATTGATTCGGTTTGTTAAATGCGAACCCTGATTTGTGTTTTGAGCTTTTTGTAGAACGATGAAGAAGACGACGACGATATCGAATCTTTCACCGGAATTGGTAGAAGAGATACTCTCTAGGGTTCCGTTGACATCTCTGGGTGCAGTGAGATCTACATTGAAACAATGGAACGCTTTATCGAAGGATCGAATAGTTTGCAAAGCAGAATCAAAGCATCAACTTTTTGGGGTTTATGGCGAATGGTTTTAGGGTTTGGTCAGTGAGATTCGATCTCCAAACCGACGACAATGGCGACTTGTACTGTGATTCATCTATAAAGCAAATAGGTAAATTCGATCAATTTGAGATCAGAAGAATGTTTCATTGTGACGGGTTACTACAAGAAAGAGGGTATTTTTCAGACGGATTTTCTGACGGAAAAATTTCCCTCGGAATTCCGACTGAATTTCGAGGAATTTCCGAGGAAAACTTATCCCTCGGAAATCTTCCTGAAATTTCCGACGGATC